GGCTATTGAAACTTGTGTATGCTTTCGAAGTTCTCTTGTTGTGTTTTTCAGCTCCATTAGTTCATTTATATTCCCCTCTAAGCTGTTTATTCTCGTTAGCATTTCGTCAAACCTTTCTTCAATGTTCTTAGTTTCTTTGCATTAGGTTAGAATGTGTTCTTTTCAGCTCAGAGAAATTTCTTATTAACCACCTTCTGAAGCCTGTTTCTGTCGATTCATCAGGTTCATTCTCCATCCGGCCTTATTCCCTTGCTGGTGAGGAGTTGTGATCCCTTGGAGGAGGAGAGGCGTTCTGGTTTTGGGTGTTTTCATCCTTTTTGTGCTGGTTTCTTCCCGTCTTTGTGGATTTATTTACCTGTGGTCTTTGTAGTTGGTGACTTCCAGATGGGGTCTCTGAGTGGACAGCCTGTTTGTTGAAGATGAAGATGAAGTTATTTCTTTCTGTTTCTTAGTTTTCCTTCTAACAGTCAGGCACCTCTGCTGTAGGACTGCTGGAGGTCCACTCCAGACCCTGCTTGCCTGGGGCTCACCTGCAGCGGCTGCAGAACGGTAAGGGTTGCTGCCAGTTTCTTCTTCTGCTATCTTTGTCCCAGAAGGATACCCGTCAGATGTCAGTCTGAGCTCTCCTTTATGAGGTGACTCTTTGGATATACCGGGGTCTGGGAGCTGCTTGAGGAGACAGTCTGTCCTTCATAGGAGCTCAAGTGCTGAGCTGTGAGCTCCATTGTTCTGTTCAGAGCTGCTGGGCAGGTACGTTTAAGTCTGCTGCAGCAGAACTCATAACCACTGTTTTTTTCCCAGGTGCTCTGTCGCAGGAAGGTAGGGCTTTATTTATAAGTTTCTGTCATGCCACTGCCTTTTTTCAGGGATGTCCTGCACAGTGAAGAGGCAGCCTAGTCACAGTCTGCCAGCAGAGGTGTTGTTGAGCTGCTGTGGGCTCTGCCCAGCTGCCATGTGAACTTCCCTGCAGTCCTGTTTATAGGGGTATAGTTAGAACTGCCTTGGCAGTGGTGGCCCACCTCTGTAATAGCAGACTCTCTGTAATGCAGACTGCCTCAGCAATGGCGGGCTGCCTCAGTATGGCAGACTGCCTCGGCAAAGGCAGACCACCTTAGCAATAGCAGACTACCTCCATAGTGGTGGAGTACCTCGGCAATGGCTGATGCCCCTCCCCCACAGAGCTGGACCGTCCTGGGTTCAGCTGTGCTTGCTGTGAAACTCTCAATCCAGAGCATTTCAGATTGCTGGTCTTTGTGAGGGTGGGACCAGCCGAGCCTGATCACCTGGCTCCCTGCCTCAGACCCCTTTTTTCTCAGTTGAATGGATGACTCTGTCTCCCAGGTGTTCCAGTCGCCAGTTGAAAGGGCGCCCGGATTTGTGTGAGTTCTGGTGCAGAGACACGCCGCACTGGCTGAAACAGCCGTGCTGGAGACTCACGGCGCTTTTTCGCCCAGGAATCTCCTGGCCTGTCTCCCTGTTTCCATCCCCTTTTTATCACTTGAACGGGCGACTCTGTCTCCCAGGTGTTCCAGTCGCCTGTTGAAAAGGCACCCGGATTTGTGAGTTTTTGTGCAGAGACCTGCTGTGCCAGCTGCAACAGCCACACTGGAGACTCGCGATGCTTTTTCACCCAGGAATCTCCTGGCCTGCCTCCCTGCTTCAGTCCCTTTTTCATCAGTTGAACAGGCGACTCTGTCTCCCAGGCGCTCCAGTCGCCAGCTGAACCGGTGCCTGGACCCATGTGAGTTTTTGTGCGGAGATCCACCACGCTGGCCGAAACAGCCACACTGGAGACCTGTGGCTCCTCCGCCTGGGAATCTCCTGGTCTGTGGGCAGTAAAAATCCGTCAGGAAATGTGACAACCACTCACCTTCTGCGCTCTCGCTGGGAGCTGCAATCCTGAGCTGCTCCTACTCAGCCGTCTTGGATCCCTCTAGGTTTTTTTGTTTTTGTTTTTTCTTGAGATAGTCTTGCTGTCTTGCCCGGGCTGGAGTGCAATGGCATGATCTTGGCTTACTGCAGCCTCCACCTCCCAGGTTCAAGTGATTCTCCTGCCTCAGTCTCCCAAGTAGCTGGGATTACAGATGCCCACCACCACGCCAGGCTAATTTTTTGCATTCTTTTAGTAAAGATGGGTATTCACCATGTTGGCCAGGCTGGTCTCAAACTCCTGACTTCAGGTGATCCAACCCCCCTCAGCCTCCCAAAGTATTGGGATTACAGACATGAGCCACTGCACCCAGCCTCTCAGTGCCTTTCCTTAGTGACCCTGGGAGGTCGGCAGTGCAGGAATTATTCACTCCATTTCACAGTGGAGGAAATCAAGGTCACACTGAAAGCTGGTGACAGATCAGAATGAGGACCAGCCCCTGAATTCTCAGCACAAGAATCTCACCCTCTCTTGGGGACCCATCCAAGTAAGCCAGTGGGGCTTCAGAATCCCACTCTAGAAAAGGGTGGAGTTGTGAGGAACCTGCCCTTGTCAGATTTTGGGGGTGTTTTCTAGAAGACACCTAAGGTTAGCTGTTCTAGAAGATGGCCATAGCTTTTCTTTTTTCTCTCTTTTTTTTAAACAGGATCTCACTGTGTTGCCCAGGCTGGCGTGCAGAGGTGTGATCACAGCTCCCTGTAGCATCCACCTCGGGCTCCAGTGATCCTCCTGCCTCAGCCTGCCGAGTAGCTGGGACTACAGGCATGTACTACTACACCTGGCTAAATGTTTTTTATTTTTAGTAGAGACAAGGGTCTCACTATATTGCCCAGACTGGCCTCTATCTCCTGAACTCAAGCAATCCTCCTACCTGGGCCTCCCAAAGTACTGAGATTACAGGCATGAGCCACTGCACCCAGCTACCTGTGGATTTTCTAATCTAGAACGTGCTGCGCCTGATTCTCCCAGGGGCACCCTGAGAGGTGCTCCTCCATCCAGCAGCAGTGCCCAGGAGGAACATGTCCCTCAGGAAGACTTGGCCACATGTCAGGTTAACCTTGAAACTGGAGCAGCCACAGAGCAGTAAGCTTAAAGCCCAGGCAGGGTTCTCTTACTGACCTTTTTCTTTCTTTCTCTCTCCCTCTCAAGAATGGCGCAGCCTTGACTACACAATCACTTGCAGAATTAAATAGCCAGAAATCACCTCGTCTAGACAAACAGATTTTATGGGTCCAATTAATTCCTGCCAGTCAAAAATAGGCACGCTTAATAAGGGGATATATATAGACTCTGTCATTATCTGGCTCCCCAGGGGAGAAACCTCAGCTCTTATTTCATAGATGCTTAATTTCAAACAGAGTTCTGTTAACTCCCACTTCAGACCTGGCTTTCCTTCCTGACAGCACCAAGGTGGACTGGGGCAGGGAGAGCAAAGGACCACAAGAAGCCACTTAACTCCCGTGCAGCCGAAGGCTCCCGGCCACCTCCTCCCAACCATTTAAGTCAACCGGCGTGTGGCGGCAGCTTCTTCAGGCCACGTCACCAGGCAGTGGGAAGCTGCTGGAAAAGCAGGGTCTAAAGGGCTCCAGAAAGTCCCACCTGTCCCTACCCGAGGTCCCACCATCATCTGTTTTCTATCCCTAGGGATTGGAAGCCTTCCAGGGCTCTTGTGGGCTGTGGTGTCCCCTCCCACACAGCACCGCTGTCCCTGGGAAGGGTTACCGTTCTCAGTCACTGTTAGCATATGGCCTGGGCAGAGAGCCAAGCTGGCACCCAAGGCCTACAGGGCTCCAGATGTGCCAGAGTCACCTGCCACAGAGCCGGTGGGCGGGTCAGAATCCTGGGCACTCCGGGCCCCCGTGACAGGGCTACTCTCTGGCGGGTGGGAGATGAGGCATAGGGGGCCTGGGGAGCACTAAGGACAGGGCCTGGGGACCCTCCAGTCTGAGGTAGAACTCTCCCCAGCCTCAAGGGGGGTGAGTCCTCAGCCACACCCCAGGGTCAAAGGCTTTTTCTCCAGGGCACGGCCACTGGGGCTTGGCCAGACCAGGAAGGAGTAGCTGCTCACTTTTCCCTAGATATATCTAAGCAAGTAAGGAAGGTGCGTTAGTTCCTTAGGGCCATTATAACCGAAGATGACAACCTGGGTGACTTAAAATAACAGAAACACATTCCCTCAGGGTCCTAAAGGACGCAAGCCCGAATCAAAGAGGCAGCGGGTCCACACTCCCTCTAAAGGCTCCAGCGGAGGACCTTTCCTTGGTTCTTCCAGCCGCTGGTGGCCGCAGGCACTCCTTGGCTTGGGACAGCACCACTCCTCACTCTGCCTCTGTCTTCTCATGTCTCTCTTCTCCCCATGTCTCTCCTCTGTGTCTCCTCTTCAGGACACTTGTCATTGAATGTAGGGTCCGCCCGGATAATCCAGGATGATCTCAACTCACGAATCTTAACTTAGTTATATCTGCAAAGACACCTTCTCCAAATAAGGTTGCAAAAGCATAGGCTCAAGGCCGGAGTCCCAGCTGCACGGGGCCCTCAGCCCACAGGCTCGCCTGTCCACCCTGACCCACTCTGGGGCACCAGCTTAAAGGCCTCCCTGTAAGATGAAGAATGAGGCCCCTTTCAGGTAATGATAGGTGGCCAAGACTCTGTGTGGCTCCAAAAGCATCATTCCTCTGTCAGAACGACTTCCATTAGCACCCTCTCACCATTTGACAAACTCATATTCACCCCTTAACACCCAGCCCAAACATCACCCCCTCCTCTACCAGGGATTTGCCTCCATCCCGTTTGTTACAGGGCCCATGTGGTCTTCACCTCTATACCCAGGCAAGGGCCTGGAAGGAGCCACAGGTCCCATGACTTTATGCTGAAAGCCCAGCAACCCTCCCCCAGGGAGACAGTGCTCCCACCTGAGGGTCTGCATGTGGTCACTCCTCCAGGATGCCCTCCAGGGTTCCCTACCACCCTTCCCACCCAACTTCACCTCCACACTGCCTACCAGGCTCCATCCTCTGCCAGGAAGGAGTACCTCCCCCAATGTCTTTGCTCGTCTTCTCTTCCTTCCCAGGCTGGTCGTGGGTGCCCCGCTGGAAACCAACGGCCACCAGAAGACGGGGGATGTGTACAAGTGTCCGGTCATCCACGGGAACTGCACCAGACTCAACCTGGGTAACGTGGGCTGCTGGTCTCTTCACAGGGAGGTGTCTAACATGAGGCAGGCTCCAATGCATGCCCATGTCCACATTCCCATGGCTCCTCCCTGCTACCCCAAGAGGTGACCGATGCATGCCCATGTCCACATTCCCACAGCTCCTCCTGCTACCCCAAGAGGTGACCCAGCTGATATCACTGTCCCCACTTTACACGTGAGGAAGCAGAGGCCAGGGAGAGGAGGCAACTTTCCCACAGTCCCACAGCTTGCCTGAGGTCCCCCAGGAATCAAACCCAGGCCCCAGCTGTCCCAGGCCATTCTGACTCATCCACTGCCCCCAACTAAAAGTTTTCTCTCCCAGGAGAAAAAAAGGACTTCCTGTCTTTTTCCTGATTTTGAAGTAATAACAATAGCTAACATCCAGATACCTTAGATCATGTTCACCATGTGTGAGGCACATTTGGACTCAATTCTCACAGCACCCATGTGGGATTTAACCATTTAACAGATGGGAAATGACAGTGTACAGAGCTGAAGGGACCTGCCGGGGGTCACTCAACTCACAAGGAGCAGGGCCCAGAGTCCAGTCCACGCAGGCTACGACCTCCCTTTAACCACCAGTGACACTGCCCTTCAGAAATGCAAGCTTTTTCTTGCCCACAAGCTTTCGAGCATATTCCGGAACAGGGAGAAGCTGTGAACAGCCCCCAGCCTCCAAAGCCCTCCCAAAATCCCCTCATGTGTGTTTGCATGCACGTGTGTATCTGCTTATGTGTGTGCAAACGTGTATCCACCAAGCACACACACCAGGCCACTAAAGTGCTCCCACTAAAGGTCCTAAAGGTCAGATACCTTGGCCATTGCTCTGCTCTCAGAAGGGAGAAAAAGTTCCATTTTGGCTGACAAGCTGCAATTCTAGGCCTTGCCCTGGAAGACTGGCCTTCCCTAGGGCCCAGACCCTGGGCCTCCCTCCTTTGAGGAGGGGGACCTCCACCCCAGAGCAGTGGGCTGGGGCTCCCTGGGAGCTTGGGGATGAGAAGGGCAGCAGGGTCTCACTGGGCAGGAATGGCAGAAGTTCAAGAGATAAGCTGATGGATAAAAAGGTCAGCATCCAAGAGAAAGCCCAAAGAACCCCCAGGGCAGCCAGCTGTCTGTCACATGGTCCCGGAGGCTCCCGCTGTCCACATCTGCATCAGCACCATGGGTGGGAAGTTCAAAACCTAGCACAGCTGGGGCCCGAGCTTCAGTGAGGAAATCGTCTAAGGGAAGAGAGTGCCTGCTTGGTGGCGTATGGGTCCAGGTCATCAGCACCCTGAGAACACAGGCTCCTGAAACTGGCCAAGCTGGGGGTCCCCTTCCAGCTGTACAGTTTCCTTGCTGTGTGTCCATGGGGAGCTCACATCCTCTCTCTGAGCGCGTTTACTCATGTGTAAAGCAAGGAGGCTGGACTCAACAATTCTTAGGATCCATTCCAGGATGGGGTACCTGTCCTCGAACCTTTAATGAGCACCTAGCGTGTACCAAACACCGTACTACTTATTGGGGATACGGCAGGGAACAAGAGGCCAAGGAAGGAGAGAGTCGTGGGGTAGACGAATTAGGAAGCAGGATACTTTTAGGCAGGGATCACTGCTGTGCCATAAGCCGGGAGCTGTAACACGAGTGTCTAGCGGGCGGTGGTGGTGGAGAGGGATTTCTGCCTTAGCAAGGTAGTCAGCGGAGGCCTCTCTGAGAAGGTGGTTTTTGAGGTTACAGGTGGGGGTGGAGCACTCCAGACAAAGGAGGAGCAAGCGCAAAGGCCTGAGGTAGGAACAAGCCTGCCCTGCTGGGGAAGGTAAAGAAGGACCACGTGGTTGGGGCAGAGGCAGTGAGGCTGGCGGGCGGTGGAAGCGTGGGCACTCCGCGCAGGGCCCCAGCCACTGGGAGAGAAGCTCCTGGTCCAGGCAGGGACGTGGACTCGTGAACCAGTCATTTTGCTTTCTCTGTCGCAATGTGGACCCCATTTCTCTCCAGAGGGAGGAGGAGACATAAAGCCATCAGACCCTGGAAAGCATTTCTGAGCTGGGGCACAAGCCCAGGAGGCAGGGCGTAGCAAAGGGAGCTGGGACAGAGGAAACTTACTCTTCATTTGAGGTGTGGTTCTCTCTCGGCCACGGAGAAGAAAACGCACGGCAGAAAGAACATCTGTCAGTTTCGCCCCACAGTGGAAAATGCAAGGCTGGGAAATCTGAGTCCTGGGTTTTCCTATGGCTGTTCCAGGCACCGGGCAGTGAGGTGCCAGGAATGTTCTTCCCTCTCTCTCCAGGGAAGGCTAAGTGGGTGTCAGTCATTCACACCTCGGTGGGAAAGAGTCTACTGCTGGCACCTTCCTTCCAACACCTGGACAAAGTCAGGGTTTTAAAATGAGGGACTGGGGCTGGGGTGGAGTGGGGGGTGATGTGATTCTCAAAGCCAGGCCCTGGGGGGAGGGGCTCGGGCCCAGGACACTCACCCAGACCTGCTGAGGAAGGCGTGAGTCTCTCCCACTCACAGAGGGGTGGGGCAAAGCAGGACTTGAACCTGAGTCTGTTTAACTCCAACACAGCGCTCTTTCCTCCCACGCCCCTGCGCCTCAGCCAGTTCCACTACAAACGTCAGTCCCCAGGGGAGGGAAGGAAAGACAGGGGCAGGGTGTTGAGGGCTGGACCCCTTAAATAAATGGAGGGCAGAATTCTAGCCAGCAGAGGGCGAGGGTTACCCAGCCCAGTGGAGCTTGGAGCTGCCTCTCGTTCCCACTACCACCGCCATGCCATCAGATGGGAAAAGACACAGGACTCAGGATGAAATGTCACATGGTCTGGGCTAAAATTCTTGCTCTTTAATTTCCCAGCAAGTCACCTTGTGGCAGCCACTGACCCTCTCTACACCTCGATGTTCCCATCTGTAAAACGGAATGATGACCCCTGGGCCGAGGGGTCCTGCAAGGGCAGGTGTGCACGGTGCTTTGTAGGTGCTAAGACATCTCAGAAACACCAGGCCCTTACTGTGATTTTCTCTCCGGCCTGTTTGGTCAGACAAAAGAGAAATCAAGCCCACTCATTCTTAGCACAGCCAAGAAGGGCGGATTTCAAAAGGAGCCTTGCTACAAAGTGAGGAAAACCTAAAAGGAAAAACAACACACACAGCGCCCGCCCCGCCCCCAACTCCAGTCTGCAGAACAGCCCCGTGCTGACAAGCTGGGCTCCACCAGCAGCGTACCCCAGCCTCCTGCAGCCGCAGGCCTTGCTGACCTGTGTGCCCTGGGAGCCAGCCCGCTCTTCACACTTCCAGTCACCGACAGAGCGCAGTGCCAGCCATTCTTGCTTGAGGCCTCCTTAGACATTGCTTGAGCCTGGGAGGCGGAGATTGCAGTGAGCTGAGATGGTGCCACTCTGCTCTAGTCTGGGTGACACAGCGAGACCCTGCCTCAAACACCCAAACCACTGCGACAAAGCCAGCGGAGAGGGGAAGGGAAGAAGGGCGGGGAGGGGAGGGAAAGGAAGATGAAAGGGAGGGGAGGAGAGAGGAGGGAAAAAAAAAACAGAGCAAAGAAAAGAAATTTCTCCTCCTCCAAGCAGGGAGCCGCCCAGAGCTGCCCACACTGCAGGTTAGGGTTGACACACACGAGCTCCCCAGCCTCCCCCTCCCTCTTCCTGTACACATGTACACACACACACACACACACACACACACACACACACACTTTTCTAGGGAATTCAGGCTCACTTCCTTTCCTTCAGTGGCCCCCAGGATGATCTGGTAGAACTTTAGGCAATGTCTTTTTTGTATGGCTCTAAGCTGCTGCAGAGCCAGCCCTCTCCCTGCTCCCAGCGGACTGGTAACCCAGCTCCTAAGCACCCCTCTTGGCAGCCACCTTCTGAATGGCGTTCCTGGGTGAGGCCTGGTAGCTCTGGAAGGCTCTTGTTGAGCTGGCTGTCTGTTACCCGTGAGACCCATGAGAGGGGACCCTTTCAGCATCACATGTGGGTGGTTCAGATGAGCAGAGAAGCCAGTATGGAAAGAGAGGGACACGGGACTGGTTGAGTGTGGATGGGGGTCAACTTGGAGGAGAGCGTGGCGGGGGCACTGCACAGAAGAAGCCAGCCCAGGTGGGACGCCAGGGCATGTTTGGGGACACACGGGGGACTGGAGGAGGAAAAGCTGTGGACCCGGAGATGGAAGGCCCTGTGCTTACTGTGTGACCTCGGGCAGGTTGTTTGGCCTCTCTGAGACAGTTTTCTCATCTCACCGGCAGTGGTGAGGAAGTCATGAGAATACGTCTGGGGAAGGCCTTTGTAAACCCTGAGAGCCGGAGGTCCCCAGGGTCAGGGAGAATCGGGGAGGTACCTCGGGTGACCAGAGCAGCCACAGGCTCTGGGCAGAGGGTGGGCAGGAGGGGGCTGCAAGCTGAGCTTCTCCCCCCACCCCAGGAAGGGTCACCCTGTCCAACGTGTCCGAGCGGAAAGACAACATGCGCCTCGGCCTCAGTCTCGCCACCAACCCCAAGGACAACAGCTTCCTGGTAAGAGCCACCTGCCACTGCTTGGGGCCAGGAGAGGTGGGGGCGGGGGGAGGGGCGGAGCGTCTCCTTGCACGCCCTCCTGTGCATCCTACACACCCAATCTCCCCGACTCCATCCACCAAGCTGCCTGGCCCCCCGTGCTCCCGGAAGCAACTCCCCACCCGCTCCCTGCTTACGCCATTCTGGGTGTTTTGGCAGGGACAGTCCAGGCAGAAGAAACTATTGAGTCCTTTTGTGTGCATACCCTGAGGGAGGGAGGAACAGCCAGAAAACGAAGAAGAAGAAACACAGATAGCCAACAGTCTGAGGGGGGACCGTCCCTGCCCTTGGGGAGCCAGTTATCTGGGGCGGCAGTCAACTCTCTCCTCTAGGTTTGAAAAAAGGAGCAGGTTGCACCGCACCCCCGAAGAAGACGGGGAGGGATGCTGTAAATGAGTCAACACAGATCGACCACACCCGAGGGAAGGGCTCCAGAGTGACAAGCCGCCCCAGCTATCCAGGATTAGAAGAAGGCTGGAGGTGGTTTCTGCTTTGTTTTTAAAGAAGAAACAGGCCTTCACAAGGAAGAAAGAAAAGGGGGTGTCTGGGTTGAGGTGGTAGAAGCATCCGTTCATTTAGACAACAGTGTTTCTGAGCACTTACTATAGCATGTGCTAAGCCCAGTGCTGGGCATTGGGATTGAGCAGTGGACAGAGACCCTTCGCTGCTGGAGCCTACACTCTGGTGGGAAGAGAGGCGACAAGCAAATGATTAACGTCTAATAGGACGTTGAGAGACGGACGGCAGCAGGCCCTGCTCACAGGTCCCTGTCTGAGCTCAGGCAAGCACGTGCAGACTCTGGCCACAGCAAGTGTGGGTGGCACAATGGACTGGCACGCCTGCTCCTTGCCACCACCTTGGAGGGAGCTGCCTTGAGTGTGGGCGATGCTTGGGGTTCAAACAGGATCCTTCTGAGACGGATGGTTCCTAGAAACAGTTGCAAGAGAGGATTCCAGAAAAAAAAATTACCCCAGAAAGCCCAGTACAAAGCACTGCCCACTTTTAGATGGGGGTGCTTGTGTCACTCTTTGTTCTGGTCTGTCTATTTCTGCTGACAGATGAGACATCTGGGGCATGAATCACCAGACAACAAGATAAGAAGATGACTGGGATGCGAGGGGACTTGAGTACCTAGTGGTCCTGCCAGGGAAAGTCATGAGGTGCCTTGATGTATATTCAGCCCGCGGCCCTTCAATAGCCATAACCAGGGGCAAAGCAGGACCCCTGGCGCTGTCTACACACATATCCATCGGGGCTTTGTCTCTACTCCCTTTTCCCTCTCGGGCTCCTTACCACATTTCTTCTTCACGAGGTAGTATGAAGGTCTGAGAGGAATGGTGTGATATACTCTCTGGGGCCTCTGTGAGTAGGTTAATCCTTGGTTTATAAATAGTCACCTGTTCACTGATTCACTCATTAGTCCATTCCCCTATCAATAATTCATTCCTCTATTCATCTGTCCAACCATCCATGCATTCATCTACACATCTGTCTATACATCTACCCACCCTCAATCTCCCATGCAACCATTCATCTTTCCATTTATTCTTTCCTGCATCCATCCATCAACCTCCATCTATCATTCATCCACTCAATTCATCATCCATCCCTCCATCCATCAGCCATCGATCATTCATCCACCCATTCATCCATCATCCACTCATCCATGATCTATCCATTCACTCATTCATCTATCAACCATCTATCATCCATCCATTATCATTCATCCTCCCAGTCATCCATCATCCATCCACTTATCCATCATCCATCCATTTATCATTCATTCACCCATTTATTCATCATTCATTGGTCCATCATCTATCCACTATCCATCATCCATCCATTATCCATTCAGTTATCTGTCCATCCATCCACATCTGTCCATCATCAATATATCCATCCATCTTCCATCTACTTACCCATCCATCCATCCATCTATCCATTCTTTATCCCCCCACTACTTCCAAAAATTATGTTCGGCAGCTTCGACAAAAGACACAGATTAAACATAACATTTAAGGTCTGGGTTTAAAAAGAAAGTAATTGAAGAAAGGGATTGGAAGTAGAATAATTACTCCCCTAAACCAAAGGAAATTACCGCACAAAATTTAGCCCTGGGTGTCCCGATAGCAGGATGACAATGGAAGCATGGAGCTGAGCTTTCATATTTAATGTAAGTGACTCTGAGAAGATCTCGTCAGTCCTTCAATGGGGGCTGACATCAGTGTTTTTGGTAGAGCATTTCACAGACATTCTTCTCTTCCCCTCCCCCAGTAAGAGCCATGGCATGTTTTTGGGACCCAGTCTTGGAACTTTGCCCAGTAAGGCCCTTCAGGCGACCTCTCACACAGAGGAGTTATTCTAGTGACCCTTGAAGGGTCCGCTTCCACGGATGAAAAGACTTCCCCAGATCCCGTGTGGTGGGTGGGTGAGTGGGGTGAGCAGGTAAGGCATAAAAGCATCATAATCTTAAATGATGAGATGGAGAACAGGGCCTTGAAAAAGCAATGAAAGAGAATCCAAGATTAGTTTTTCTCTATTAGACCTGAAATGAAAGGACCTAGTCTGCATTGCAGCAAGAGAGAGTTCAGTTAGACTCACAGAACACCCTCTCACCCTCTCGCCTCTCAGATAAGGGAAGTCTGTCTTGGGCCATGGAAGATGGGACTGGGCCTCAGGCCATTGGACCTGAATCCTCCCTGAGGCCCCCTCACTGACTAGGGATCTGCATTGTCCTCCCCAGGCCTGCAGCCCCCTCTGGTCTCATGAGTGTGGGAGCTCCTACTACACCACAGGGATGTGCTCAAGAGTCAACTCCAACTTCAGGTTCTCCAAGACTGTGGCCCCAGCTCTCCAAAGTAAGTGGCTTCAAATCCACAACCTCAAGCTGAGCACTGGAAGGTCCGGTGAGGCTTGGGCCCTGAGCACCGCTACCTGTGGCTAGAAAGCAGCGTTTGGACTCTAGCCCTGCCCTGCCCCAGCTCTCTGGATGACCTGGAATCCAGCTCCCTGGATGACCTGGAATGTATCACAGCACCTCTCTGGGCCTCTGTGGGAGTCAAAATCCTGGCCTCCCTCTCCCAAGTGTGATGGTGGGGAGCAAATGAGCTAAGGTTTCAGAGACAATCCCAGCCTCAAGGGAGGCTCACTGCAGAAACCCCGGGTAAATAGGAGATTATCTGACTAGCACATGTGGCAGGCAAGCAGTGCACTGCACAGTTCTGGGGGTATCGTTCACTTACACTACCACGTGAATGGCGCCCCCTGATGTTGTGCAATGCAGTAGCCCTGTAGATGAAGGAACAGGGAGAACCAAAATCTCCTTAGTAATAGTTCCACCAAGCCAGTGCTCCTGCGTAGCAGGGAGCTCTGTCCAGCCCGTCCGGGGCCTCTGGACACACAAAAACCTCTTGCTCATTGCCCACCTGCCAAGAAAACCTGGGGAATTCCTGCTCAGACCTTGCCTCCCACAAACCCAGACTTCTTGGCTCTGAGCCTCACTATTTCCTCTGTGCTAGATACCATCACCCAAGCAGCTGCTGCCCGTTTTATGGAGGATTCGGGAATTAGCACCTCTGGCTTGCCGGCAGCCGCCCTCCAGACAACAGGGCCCAGCCAGATGGGGCTGGGGAAGGGAACAGGAAGAAGCATCAATCCAGTAGGGGCAGAAAGGCGGTCCTCCGGTGGGATAAGGAGACGTGGATTCTATTCACACAAAATGACAGAGGGAATGGCAGAGCCCAGGCACAGGAGGAGGCCTGAGGTCAGGGTACATAAGGGGCCCACTGGGGAATGTCACCATCCCTAGAGCTAGTCCCTCCAGGCCAAGATGTGACTACCCTAAAGTCTCTGAATATCATGTGATAGAGGCTTCCTCACCTGGCTGACCAGCAGCAGTGCTCTGAAGCTTATCAAATGCAGATTCCAGGGCACCCCATGTGGGTCCTAATTCAGTAGGAGCATATATGTGCGTGCATGCATGCGTGTGAGTATTTAAGCTCCCCAAGGGAGTGTTCAGCCATGTTTAGGAACATGCCCTCAATCCAGTTTGTCCCCAAGGTACCTTAAAAAGAAAACTATGAAATTGCAAGAAAAATCAACAATCACAATGCTAATAATAATGCTGGCTTAAAATTTTTGAAAAAAAAAAAAAAAAACCTGTTGAAAGATTATGATCTCCTCCAAAGCAAAGAATTTCTGCCTTGGTCACCCCCACGGCCGCCTGTACCATGCAGAGCTCCTGGATAGAGCAGGTGCTTAGTCCACGTTGTAGAGTCGAACTAAACCAGAAAAGAAGAAATGTATGATGCTATGCCAGGCCAGGAGTGTCAGGTCACCACATGCTGTACACAGTGTGCAGGTGGGACAAGAAGTGGCAGAGCATTTGAGTGGCCCAGATGCTTCTAGAATGCTCTGCTAAACACATAGCCTGCAACAGGCACCCCAACTCAAAGCCACCCCCATCTTCCTCTGTCTATTCAGCACTATGACACAGTGCCTCTTTGCAATGCAAGAACTTCTGAAACAGTCAACACACAAAAGGATCATGCAGCATTGTTATAAAGTAGATTTCGTAACAGAATAACAACTCGCCAGTAAAAATGAGCAGACACCCAGACACAGAGTGTATGCAATATTTCAAAGTAATTCCAACTACTGACAAACAGAAATTACTTAGATTTTAAAAGAGGTGGTTTTTTTTACATTTGTTACTGCCAATGTTTTTTTAATTTTCTTTGTTGATTTTTATTATTCCTTTTAATTTAGGTTTTTTTTGAGTTAGAGTCTCGCTCTGTCACCCAGGCTGGAGTGTAGTGGCCCAATCTCGGCTCATTGCAACTTCTGCCTCCTGGTTTCAAGAAGTTCTCATGTTTCAGCCTCCCATGTAGCTGGGACTACAGGCATGCAGCACCACTCCTGACTAATTTTTGTATTATCAGTAGAGATGGGGTTTTGCCATGCTGGCCAAGCTGGTCTTGAACTCCTGACCTCAAGTGATCTACCCACTTCGGACTCTTCAAGTGCTGGGATTATGGGTGTAAGCCACCACTCCCAGCCTAATTTAGTATTAATATTACAAGAACATAAACCTTTATATTCAGAGGCAGAGATAACAGCATGAGAGCTTGGCCTGATGATATCAGTACCATATTTACCCAGTGGTTTCCTTTTTTAAAAAAAAGCAAAACCAGGATCAGCTCAAATTTATTGAGCACTTGCTTTGTGCTCAGCCCTTTAGAAGCATTTTCTCATTAATTCCTCATGACAACTTTTTATATCATTGTGCCTCTTTTACGGAAGAGAGAACTGAGGTTTTGTGACTGGCCCTAGGTCACAGAGCTAGGGAGTGCCAATGCCAGGAGTCAGTGTGACGCCACATCCCACATTTCTAGCCACAACATCATATCTCCCTCCTGAAAACAGAAATCCATTCATTTAGGCTGAAAGTGGTAAATGCCAGCCTGCTCATAACAGCAAAACAAACGATGATAGGGTACTGATTTGAGCCATGCTGGCTGCCTCGGAAGCATTGGCCTATGAGCGGTGGTCAGTCCCTGATTCGGAGCAGAAATGATCAGGCTTAATTTAAGCTTTGTTTAAACAGACAGCAAAGTAGTGGAACAGAGCCAGGAATTCTGGTTTTTTTCACACTGCCCAAATAAATGTCCAGCCCAAGGAGAGCTCCCCAGCCCAGGGAATTACGCGCATGGAGCAGTCACTCAGTCGTCCTTGCAACAATCGTCCAGAGAATCAGAGACTCGCAGCCACTTCTCCTTGGGTAGCCATAACTGTGCCCCCACTTCCCAGGGTGCCAGACCTACATGGACATCGTCATTGTCCTGGATGGCTCCAACAGCATCTACCCCTGGGTGGAGGTTCAGCACTTCCTCATCAACATCCTGAAGAAATTTTACATCGGCCCAGGGCAGATCCAGGTGAGCATGTCTGGGGCTCTTTCCACTTCTGAACGGGGCCACCCAAACCCATGGCAGGTGCCGCCTTAGGGCTAGGCGAGATCTTTGCATGAACAAAGGAAGTGTAGGTGAGAGGGCAGAGGCGGTAGGGCCAGCCAGCACTGGGGCCCTGCAGCCCAGTGTAGCACTTCAAGGGACAGTTTGGGGAGGGTCTCATTTCATGGGTCAGACACAAGACACCACCTGTGAAGACTTAGACAAGCTAAAAAGTGAGAAGGAAGGTGGGAATGGTTGAGTGAACACTAGAGCCCTGTTGAGTGAAGCATAGGGGAGAATTAGACAGAATGATTATGGAAGGAAGATGGCAGGAGAGGAGGTCAGAGCTGCTAGTTCATATAGCTGAAATGTGCCTGGCTAAAGTGGAGGTAGATTTATTTCTTTTTATTCTGCCTGAGTGAGGACTAATGACTAGAAGTTACTAGATGGCAGATTTCAAGTCAATCTAAGAAATTGTAACGATCAGGGCTGGTAAAAAGGAAGTGGACTTTCTCATGAAGTCATGAGTTCCCCACCACCAGAAGATCATCCTTTGGAATATCATGGGTGAAAGTCCAGCATCAGAAGGGCATGCGTGCCAAATAAACCCTGTGGGCTCATCCAACAGGAACGCTTCATTGTTCTATTTCTACTATAAGTTTTTGTAGCTTTTTGTTTATTTTGAAGCTGTTGATATTGTCATTATTTTATCACCTACGGAGATAAAGGAACCTCTTCTCTTCCAAGTTTTAAGGACCCTCAGTTTTGGAGATTGGTAAACACTGTGGCCTTCTGCCCACACTGCTCATAATATTTTGGACTTCGATTCTCTGCTCCGCTTTTGTTTTCCTAAGAAAGAGGCGCAACTGTTTGGCCTTTATTTCAATCGCAAAGTCTCCATTCTTTACATGCACCCCTTCTGGTCCCACCAATCTGTTCATTTATTCCCAGAACTTTGCAGAACTCACTTCCCATTGGTTGTGGTTACCTTCTTGGAAAGGTCCTCAGCCTTCCTCCCTCCTGAATCATCACACAGAGGCACTCCTGGGATCCTCAGTCTCAGAGTCTAAGTTTCAGAGTGTCAAGATGTTCTGCTGCCCTCTCCTCTCCCGTGCAGGTTGGAGTTGTGCAGTATGGAGAAGACGTGGTGCATGAGTTTCACCTCAATGACTACAGGTCTGTAAAAGATGTGGTGGAAGCTGCCAGCCACATTGAGCAGAGAGGAGGAACAGAGACCCGGACGGCATTTGGCATCGAATTTGCACGGTAAAAAAAAATATATATATATTTTTTTAGATCTCAGATGCTATTCTAGTTATCTATTACCATGTAACACACTACCACAAAATGTAGTGCCTTGAGGCAATAATTTCTTAATTCCTCAAAATTCTGGGGTTTGACTGGGCTCAGCAGGTCGGTTTTCTCTTAGGTTCTCTCAGGTGGTTGCAATCTGGTGTCACCTGGAGACGTTGTCATATGAAGGTTCTCACATGGCTGGCAGTTGTTTCTGGCTGTTGGCTGACAGCTCAGCTGGGACTGGCAACCTGAGCACCCACATGTGGCCATATGGCGTGGGTTTCCTCATGACATGGCAACTGGAGTTTTGGAGGGAGTGTCTGTCCCAAGAGCAAGCTTCCCAAGAAACCCAGGCAGGATCTGACAGACTGCCTATAACCTAGTCTGAAAGTCCCAGAATATGACTTCTGCCTTGTTCTATTGGTTGGGCAAGTGACTGAGGCCAGCCCAGATTCAAGGGGAAGGGAATTTGGTTCTGCCCCTTGGTGGATGAATAGCAAGGTCATTTTACAAAACAGCATTTAGGATGGGGAATATTTTTACAGCCAACTTTGGAAAATAGCTTCTCCCAAAGACACTGTCAGAAGTAGCTTCTGTGAGGGTGGGGTCTTCTTATGGAGTGTTAGTCATCAATGGAGCATAAAGAATGCAGTCAAGTCTGACACCTGAGACTGTAGAGTAGTGAGGCTGCTCCCTGAAACATCACACCAGGACTCACACATCCAGATACATGTTATCCCTTGACATTGTCTACACTGAAGGCTGCATGCTTATTCCAGTAGTGTTGTTGCTCAAAACAATGTGCTCACTTCCACTAAAATTAGCCGATTTTGAAGGCAATCCCCCGGGATCTCTTGAGCCAAGACCTCAACTCAGAAGGTGACTGTGTCAAAGACATTCAGATTTTAAATGTCTAAATTTTACACCTATAAATATGAGCTCTGCTACATTTGTTAAGACCACAAACCTGTTACCTTATAATCTCACCTTATATAGGGTGAGTCAACGTGTTTTAAAAAATTCTACAAGGTAAGAGCTATTCAGGCCAGGTGCGGTGTAATCCCAGCAGTTTGGGAGGCTGAGGTGGGAGGATTGCTTGAGCCCATAATTTTGAGACCAGCCTGGGCAAAATTGTGAGACCTCGTTTCTACAAAAATTAGCCAGGCATGGTGGTGCATGCCTGTAGTCCCAACTATTCAGGAGGTGGAGGTGGGGGATCACTTGAGCCCAGGAGGCAGAGGTTGCAGTGGGCCAAGATCACACCACTGCACTCCACCTAGTAGGCAACAGAGCCAGACCCTGTCTCAGAAAAAAGAAAAGAAGAAAATAACTAGTAGTATTGTGATTTCGTGTGCTCAAAAGATCGAGATTTTTCCAACCCCTAACTCTTTACAGTTAAGTTATTGCTTAGCTCACATGTTTCTGTTTGCTGATAAAACTTGCTCAAGCTTTCTGTAAATAAGCGTTTCTCCATGTGGAGGTGGGTCTCTTACTCATCCTCACAAGGAACGGGCCATTTTTCTGTTTTTGTTTTGCCTTTATCGGGGTGAGGCCTGAGACTCCCAGCAGACCCTTGTGAAATGGCTGGGGCAAGGGAGGCAGCCCACGACCACCAGCTGTCACTTTCTCAGTGCGAAGCTAACTGACTCATACAGGGAGTAAGCCCACTGGTTGGGCTTCACTTTAGAACCTACCAACCTCAGGTCAATTATTTGTATGTGACTCACCAGCTGGTTTGAACCATCAGTGACTCATAAGCACTGCTGAGGCTGCAATCTTCATCTCAAATGAAGTTTGGAATTCTGCTCTTCCCAATCAACCTGCCAAATTCAAGTCCCAAATTACAGCTGGTGCCTCTCAAGGTGAAGGGTTTTCTGTCCTCACTCAGTTTATTATTATTTTGGGGGGTAAGGTGGAATTTCACTCTTGTTGCCCAGGCTGGAGTGCAGTGGCACGATCTCAGCTCACTGCAACCTCCGCCTCCCAGGTTCAAGCAATTCTCCTGCCTCAGCCCCCCAAGTAGCTGGGATTGCAGGCATGTGCCACCATGTCCAGCTAATTTTTGTATTTTTAGTAGAGATGGAGTTTCTCCATGTTGGTCAGGCTGGTTTCAAACTCTCGACCTTGTGATCCGCCCACCTCGGCCTCCCAAGGTGCTGGGATTACAGGCGTGAGCCACCAGTTTATTCTTAATGCATTTTCTGATGTGCCTACAAAAGAACAAAGATTCAGGCCATGAATATGAGGGCTTATAAAGATGTCGGTAACCTGTGGGTCCAGGCCGTGGCAGCTCACAGTCTGATGGGGGGGCTGCGACAAGTGTTAAACCTAACCCTAACTCAGTGAGGATGAGAGAGGGAGGGGCCCCCATGGAGGGGCCAAAGAGAACTGTCAGGAAGCAGCACTGGACCTGTCCTGGGAAGACCCTGGGATCCTAGCAGAAGGAGGTGGACAGAAGACGTGCCACACAAGACATTCCACCCTGATAACAGCAGAGGAGAGGGGAAGTCCAGGAGCCCTTGGATTCAGGGATGTACTTCTTTTGACCATGGCAAGGGTCTCCTGTTGGTGGGAAGTGATACACGTAAAGATGGTGGGCGTGATGATGGTGTAGTTAAAACCAGCATGGTGGCCACTGTAGGTTCTTGAGTACAAAAGAGTAATCATCAGATATGCACGTTAAGAAAATTAGCCTGGCAGCTACATACAGCAGGGAAGCGGGGAGGGCTCCACCATGTGGTGTGATCCTACCTCTGTCCAAATCACACTCTTTATTGAGCACCTACTACATGCCTCACACTCTTTCAGGCACCAGGGCTAGATCAGTGAACGAAACAGGTACAAATATTGCACCCGAGTGAGCCGACATTCTAGAGAAGGAGGCAGACAGTAAACAAACAACATAGCATACTAGAAGGAGATGAACCCTGTGGGGAGAATGGAGCGTGGTCGCAGGTGCAGAGGACAGGTGTGGAATCGGCATGAACAGGGTGGTGGGGAAAGGCTTTGCTGACAGGTGAGCTTTGACTGGAGACTTGAAAGGAGGTGAGGGAGTTATTTACCAGCAGATGGCTGGGAGGGAACAGCTCAGACAAAGGCTTGGTGTGCCTGAGGCCTTCCAGACCATGGAGAGTCCAGTGTGGGTGGGGGTGAGTGAGCAGGACCAGAAGCTAACAGAGGCAGCGGGCCAGATTTCAGAGGGCCTAGAGAGCCATTGTCAGAACCTGGGTTTTCCCCGAGAGAAGGAGGACGCTGTGCAGGTTTCGAGCAGAAAGGAGCTATGGCGTGGCCCAAATCTCCATGGGCCACTCTGGCTTCTAGGCCCACGGATCCCATTGTGAGTATAAAGCTCTTGCTGCTCTCAAGGAATATATAATCTAATTTACAAAGGAACAAATCCAAGTCCCTTTACCCAGTGCAAAATCAGAACTTAAAATCTGACGAGTCATGCTGATATTCACATGGTTACAGATTCGTATAGACATTCACACTATTCCACTCTATGGAAATATGATCCTGACATTTTTCCTGGCTCCATATATAATAAAACCTGTTTTGCTCCTGCCACGCTTTTTTGCAGGGTGTCTTATTCCTGGGCCTGGCCCTTCCATGCAGTCATGGAAGCATCTAGAATCTTCTTGGAAAGAATAGCAGAAGGGTTGAACTTGTGCTCAAAACCTGCTCTCGTCATGTGGCATGTGGCTCTGCAGGTTTCCGTCCACAGCGCATACTAAAATTAGTGGGTTTTTTAAGGCAACGTATCCAGCGTATTGGAGCACTGCTAAGAGAATGGCGGATGTTTTTTCTCTTCGCTGGTAGTGTGAAGATGTTCTAAACTAACTTATTCCAGCTTTTATGAATTTCCCAACTCCTAAACCATACACCTCAGTTCTTCAGTGTGCTGTGTAAGAAGAGACACAAAACCATGTGGCCCTTTAACCTGTCACTACAGAGGTTAACTCTATGGCCTGTCCTGCCTTGCCATGGGTCAGACCCATGAGGAATAACCTCTGAGTCTAAGAGAACATTTATCTTTAGATCCTTACTGGCAAATTCTAACTTCTGGACCAGACTCCTTGGTGAGACCATGCCTGTACTCCCAGAACCTCATGGTCTAAAGGAGGACCGGCCACAGGGGCACCAAAGACCAGTGGTGGTTTGGGAGCCAGTTTTTCACACTTTGTAGCCTGATTGGTTGTTACACTTTGTAGCCTGATGGGAAGTTGCACCTCTGCCAAGCTGACGGTCGAGGTGCCAACCCCACTGCCCTCTGGGCTGGATTGCCTGATAGGTGGGTCCAGCTCATGCTCCGGGTACTGAAAACAAAAAGTGAGAAAGAGAAACATTTGTCATGGAATTTGATATTTAATATTTCCAAAAGAGAATCAAAGCAGTCCTCGTGAGGAAGTCAGAGCTCTGTCCGGCCTCACTGCATGTCTTTTATGGGTTAGTGTTGTCTGGGTGCTGAGTCACCCGGCACATCCTGTTTTCAGTTCTAAGGAAAGTGAGTCTCAACTCTGGATGCTCACCAGAGTGCTAGAAAATACCGATGCTTGCCCAGCGTGGTGGCTCACATCTGTAATCCCAGCACTTTAGGAAGTAGAGGCGGGCAGATTACTTGAGGCCAGAAGTTTGAGACCAGCCTGGCCAACATGGCGAAACCCTGTCACTATGAAAAATACAAAACTTAGCTGGGCATGGTGGCACATGCCTCTAATCTCAGCTACTTGGGAGGCTGAGGCACAAGAATCGCTTGAACCCGGGAGGAAGAGGTTGCGGAGCTGAGATTGTGCCACTGCACTCCAGCCTGGCCCACAGAGCGAGACTCTGTCTCAACAAAATAAAAATGAAAATACTAATACCTAGGCCACTACCCAGAGATTCCAGTTTCGGGGATCTGGATGAGGCCTGGTTATCAACAGTCATGTTTTTTGTTTTGTTTTGTTTTGTTTGAGGTGGAGTCTCACTGTGTCACCCAGACGGGAGTGCAGTGGTGTGATCTCAGCTCACTGCAACCTCCGCCTCCCAAGTTAAAGCAATTCTCCTGCCTCAGCATCCCAAGTAGTTGGGATTACAGGTGCAAGGCACCACACCTGGCTAATTTTTTATTTTTAGTAGAGACGGTTTTGCCATGTTGGTCAGGCTGGTCTGGAACTCCTGACCTCAGGTGATCCACTCACCCCAGCCTCCCAAAGTGCTGGGATTACAGGTGTGAGACACCGCACCCGGCCAAGAGTTTTGTTTTTCTTTGTTTGTTTGTTTGTTTGTTTGTTTTTTGAGACGGAGTCTCGCTCTGTCACCAGGCTGGGGTGCAGTGGCGCCATCTCGGCTCACTGCAACCTCCACTTCCCGGGTTCAAGTGATTCTCCTGCCTCAGCCTCCCGAGTAGCTGGGACTATGGGCGTGCACTACCACACCTAGCTAACTTTTGTATTTTTAGTAGAGACGAAGTTTCACCATGTTGGCCAAGATAGTCTTATCTCTTGACCTTGTGATCCACCCGCCTCGGCCTCCCAAAGTGCTGGGATTACAGGTGCGAGCCACTGCGTCCAGCCAACAGGTTTTAAAGACTCCTTGCAAAGCAGCTGAGGTTGTGAACCACTGACTTAATACCTCTAAAGCTTGCCACCTGCCCTTGAACTCCCTTCTCAGGTCCACCTCATCCCTCTGGCCTGTCCAAAATGGCAAGGTCAGGACTCCAAAGGGGCTTTTCAAAGTCTCATTTAAAGACAACAGCCCTAAGACCCCTCTGAGCAGCTGATGAAAGAGTAGCCCTGGGAGAACTCGGTCCTGGTTTCTGTGGCTGCCCCTCTGCAGGAGCGTCGGGGGCTACCCCAATCCTCCTTCCCTCTCATGACCCTGCCCCTGTGCTTGGCTTCCAGCTCAGAGGCTTTCCAGAAGGGCGGAAGGAAAGGGGCCAAGAAGGTGATGATTGTCATCACAGATGGGGAGTCCCACGACAGCCCAGACCTGGAGAAGGTGATCCAGCAAAGCGAGAGAGACAACGTAACAAGATACGCAGTGGCCGTAAGTCCTGGCCGCCCGAGGGCTGCCGACGGCCTCTCCGAGGCTTTGCCGTCAGATCCATGGGGACTCCAAGGGACCATTTCCAGGCAGAACCATTTCGAGGCAGGACCATTTCACAACTGTCCAGGCCCTCAGAAGAGCCTCCCATTTCATCTTCTAAACAACAAGCTGAGAGTCTTTCTGCACTGCTCTGGCCTATCCACAAAAGCTGTGGCTTTGGGTTTCTCCCCCGCCTCTATTGCCAGGGAGGGTCTGGAACCTCAGAAAGCTAGAATGTACCTCCAAGCCTCCCAGCTTCCAGGACCCTAGCTTAACACAAGGGCTTTATCTTACCCCTAAGAGAGAGTCCATTCCAAATGCAAATGGCATTATAAGGAATTCCCATGGCCACTGGCCCTGGCTCCGGCCCGCCGTGGGGTCCCAAGGTCTAGGCCTGTGGTGTATGGGAAAGTCTGTGCTATGTTCTGGTTTGCGGTTCCTGCCCCTGTTCCCTGGCAGGTTCTGGGTTACTACAATCGCAGGGGGATCAATCCGGAAACTTTTCTAAATGAAATCAAATACATCGCCAGTGACCCCGACGACAAGCATTTCTTCAATGTCACGGATGAGGCTGCCTTGAAGGACATTGTCGATGCCCTGGGGGACAGAATCTTCAGCCTGGAAGGTGAGCAGTTCGTGCTGAGAGGGGATCCACTTTCTCCTGGGCTTATATCATCAGGTAAACCCCATAGAGCACAACCCAATCCCACAAAACCGAATGGCCGAGCAAGGATCTTCCAATAATAAATGCCAGGCCAGGCGCAGTGACTCATGCCTGTAATCCCAGCACTTTGGGAGGCCAAGGTAAGCTAACTGCTACAGTTCAGGAGTTCAAAACCAGCTTGGGCAAAAAAGCAAAACCTCATCTCTTAAAAAAAAAAAAAATGCAAAAATTAACTAGGTGTGGTGCTGCATGCCTTTAGTCCTAGCTACTTGGGAAGCTGAGGTGGAAGGAGCACTTGAGCCCAGGAGATTGAGGTTGCAGTGAGCTGAGATCATGCCACTGCACTCCAGCCTGGGCAACAGAGCCAGACCCTTTCCACCAAAAGAAATAAATGATAAATGTCAACAATTGAGTGTTACTCCTTGCCGGATGTGAGGCTGTGCGCTTTATGAGCAATGCTGACAGGTTGCTTTGCTAATGTTCTCATTTTACCGCTGGGAAAACTGAAACTCAAAGGAGTTCGGCGCCAAAGCTCCCACAGCTTGGGAGGGTGGTGGGCTTTGAACCAGGGTTGCCAACTTTAGGAAAAATAAAATACAGTGGGTGTGGCGGGCTTAGGTGAAGACTTATTTGTTGTCTGAAATTCAGTTTTAACCATCAGGCAACCCTAGCTTGTACCTCGCGGGTCTGACTCTGTATGCAGCTGCTTCCACTCCACCAAAAGCATCTTTCTTTTTGCAGAGTCCTTCAGGTGGCCTCTCCTTGCGATTTAAACTCCATTTTTGATTTGCACAAATTTCATTTGTACCATAAATTGCTATAGTGGGCCCTTCCAATATCAGGCTTTGGGCATATGGGAGGGTTATAAAAAGAAATAGAAGGCAGTGTAAAGCCTTAGAAGTCTGCAGTGCATTGGAAATGACAAGCCACAGACACAGGAAAAGAGACTAAAATGGCCCTCATAAACAAGGGCAGATGAATATAAAGCATGAACGTGAGCTTTGACACCCACTCCAGAACTTAAATATCCAAATCTGTGTATTTCTCCTCAAAATGGTCGCCTCGGGTGATGAGAACATTCATTCCAACGATGTGTTCAGGGAGCCCCCTCGTGGGGAGGGGCTTTCAGCACTCATGGGGTCTCTTACCCAAATCTGCAGTGGTGACACGCCTCCCTCTGAGGGTCGATTTGATGTTTGAGATCCATCCAAAGGCATCTGGAACCAAAGCTGGTGAAGAAAAGGAATGAACAAAGTGGGAAATTCCATTTCTTGCCAAAAACGTACACTATTTCCATGCACTTTTGCTTGCTCTCTCCCCAGTTTTAGCAGTCTTACAGTATGCATGTCCTGTAATATAACTTGTTCTGAGCCCTTTTCAGAAGTGGGTTCTACCAGTTACAACCCACATGGGCACCTGGAAGGTGTGTGGCGCCCCCCACTGCGCAGCGTGCTGGGGAGGGCTGAGGAGACTGGCACACCACTGGCCTCAGCCTCACAGCCCCCCTCGAAAGAGAGCCCCACTTCCTGATGATGCCCCCAGGAAGCAGGAGCTGTGGGCTAAGGGGCAGCTCTGTCTGTGCTAAGTGCTTGGCCATGGAGCTGACATCTCTGTTACTCTGTTGCAGGCACCAATAAGAATGAGACCTCCTTTGGGCTGGAGATGTCACAGACAGGCTTTTCCTCACACGTGGTGGAGGTACGTGGTGGTGGCATGGGCACAGAGCCCCCACCTGCCTCTTGAGGGCACGCTCTTCCCCTTTCTAGCTCTCTGGATCTGTCATCCACCTTCACAGACGGGCTGGCTCTTCTCGCTTTCTCTCTTTCTTGGGGTCTCTCTGCCTCCCATCTTCTGTGGGCTGGAAGAGGGCAGTTGAGGCCGTCCACCTATTGATACTGTCTTAAGCCCTCTTTAGAAGTGAATGGACTACAGATAACAGTCCCACATTTCACCTGTGAGGTGCAGGGTACCCCTTCCCATTCAGTCCACAGAGCCTTGTGTAAAATCCAGGGCAGGTGGCAAAGCCACTGGCACGTGCCTTGAATAGCTCCAGTGCCCGAGGCGGCCTGCATGTGCCAGGGTGAGTCCCCATGTCAGTGTCGGGAGGGCCTCCCTGTGTTCCAGCTGTGCTCTGGCAGGCAACCCACAGGGCTCCTCTCTCTGTGTGGGTGCTGCATCAGACTGCAGAGGTCCCAGGGGGCCTGGCCCACAGAGGGAGGGACACATGGTGTCACAGGCAACACGTGACATCTGGGGCTCTGCGTCACTCACCCTCTGTGTGCTTCACCTAATGCTGGTCCGTAAGAAGGGGCTGGAGACTCCCAGGATTGCAAGGGGGACAGAAGAGTCGATGTCTGTGAATATGCTTAATATACTGTAAAGTCCTGCCCAGGATTGCCACGTGGGGAAACATACCAACTGCATTTGTCAGTACAGCTGGTGCTCGACTTACGACCACGATTGGTTCCGACAGACCGGTCGTAACACGATTTGGTCGTAAGTTGAGTAGGCGATATGCATGCAGAGATGGTAGTGCTGCCGGATGCTGGTCCGCACTGTCGTACGCCCAGCTGGGCAACGTTTGCGCTGCCAGACACGGAGCAGTCGTGGCTAGCGATTGTGGTCGTTAAGCTGAATGGTTGTAAGTTGCATAGGTCATAAGTCGATCAATACCTGTATAGATGCGTGCTCCTGTGAGTGTGCTTTGCACGGACAGGTGTCCCTGGTGCGTGTGTGTGTGGAGGGGGTTGTGTTCTGCCTGGGCTGGCACCATGGGAGTGTACTCATTCCTCCTAATTTGCCAGAAAAGGCCTGTTAGTGCATGCTAGTTCTGTGTCACTTGCATCCTTGAATTGCTGTCTCCTAACTCCTCTGTGAAGCAGACAGGGCAGGACTCCTGGTTCCTAGTTTACACATAAAGAATTCAAGTCCTGAGAAGGTTAAGCGACCTGCTGGAGTAAAATTCATCAGAAAAATATTAGTCTCATGCTATTTCCTCTACGCTAAGCAGCTGCTCCGTAAGAGGGAACCTCTGGGGGTCTGAGTCAGACCTTCCAAACTGGAGGGGAGGGGGACATGTGCGTGACATGCAGCTGGCAGATGGACGGAAACGCCACTCACGCTCAGACTTTTCTGCGCTGCATCTGGACTGTTTCATGCCCACTGTCTTGAATAACAGCAAGATGTAAACGTAACTGCCCTGTCCTAATAACAGCCCTGTTACATGTGCACACGGTTTAAACTTCTCCAGGAAATCCCTGCACCTCATTTCACGCTCAGGACAGCCCTACGAGGTTGGCAGGTGATGCTCGTTATCCTGTTTTAGGTGGTTTAGATCAGCCACTCTTTTCAGTGCCTCCTCTGTGCTGGGCCCTGAGCTTGACACCAGGAGAATCAGAGGCGGAGCCCTGCCCTCAAGGAACTCACAGTCCTACAGTAAAGAGCCCAGCACAGAGAGGTGACAGCATCTATTCACAGTCATGTGCTCTGGCAGCACCGGTCCCGGTCTCCAGTCTCTGAGGGCAGAGCTGGTTAGGAAATGCAATTTAAGTAAATCTAATAAGCATTTGTCATATGCCACTCAAGTGCAAAAAGGACCCAGAAATGATTCTCGCCACCAGGAGTCAACTTGCAAACAATCCTGAATGGCAGTTCTTAGCTTTGAGGGTAGGATGAAAAAAACTAGAGATGCCTCCTAGGTAAAAATGTACAACACCTGGAGGCCTCCCCCATCTGAAGACCCGCTGCTCAATCCGGGGGTTGGGGGGAGACATGTAAACATCTAGTGCTAACCAAAGCAGCGTGATCAGGGTGGTACAGAAGGAAGGGTCTCCACTAAAAGAAAGGGTGATCTGGCCGGGCACAGTGGCTCATGCCTGTAATCCCAGCACTTTGGGAGGCCAAGGCAGGCAGATCACGAGGTCAGGAGTTTGAGACAGCCTGACCAACATGGTGAAACCCTGTCTCTACTAAAAATACAAAAAATTTTGCCGGGTGTGGTGGCAGACACCTGTAATCCTAGCTACTCAGGAGGCTAAGGCAGGAGAATCACTTGAACCCAGGAGGTGGAGGTTGCAGTGAGCTGATATCACACTATTGCAATCCAGTCTGGGTGACGGAGTAAGACCCCATCTCAGAAAAAAAAAAAAAAAATTGCTGGGCACGGTGGCTAACACCTATAATCCCAGCACTTTGGGAGACCAAGGCAGGCAGATCGCCTGAGGTCGGGAGTTTGAGACCAGCCTGATCAACATGGAGAAACCCCATCTCTACTAAAAATACAAAACATTAGCCAGGTATGGTAGCACATGCCTGTAATCTCAGCTACTCCAGAGACTGAGGCAGGAGAACTGCTTGAACCTGGGAGGTGGAGGTTGCGGTGAGCTGAGATCCTGCCATCACACTCCAGCCTGGGCAACAGGAGCAAAACATCTCAAAAAAAAAAAAGAAGAAGAAGAAGAAGAAGGGGTGGTCAGAGAAAGATGCAGGGAGGGCTTGGCACTTGAGCCTTCCCTAAAGGACCAGGATTTTGGCAGCCCCAGGGGCAGTAAGCAGGAGAATAGACAGCATTGTGCACACACACTGGGCAACATCCTGGCACAGCTCAGAGGTCAGCCCTGGTGTTGGGGACACAAGAGAAAATGAATGTCCCAACGTTTTCTTTGTTCATTCTTCAAGCATCTTCGTGTATGTCAGGCTCTGTACCAGGTGCATTAAAGAAACATTTCAGCTGATGGCCATTCATAGCCTACTTGGGGAGAAAGACTCTTAAATAATAAGTTCACTGTCCTGCCTCTTAAATCTTGATCTGTGTATGTCTAGGATTCGGAGAATCTAAAAAGAAGGGACATTAAGATGGGCATCAGGGACTCAGGAAAGCTTGAGGTGAGTCTTGCAAATGGCCCACAAAGTTCAGTGTTGAACAAGGTGAGTCCTTGCAGGACCAACAGGTTCCCCAGCTTCCAGAGTGGGGAGACCCAGGAGCTCACAGCCTCAGCTCGTTACTTCCGTCATGTCAAGGTCATGACTGCCCTGTCCAGCTCCTTTCACATATGCTCTACAACTTTTCTGTTCACCAGGCAGAGGGACCCAGCTTGCCTCTCCTGTGTACCGTAGCTCTTCCATCCCTCCTGATATTTTCATCTGATTGGACTTTAAAAGAGACAACAATCGCATTTGAATCTGAGATTCTTTAGCATTAAAAACGAAAACAAAAAACTTTCAAATGCACAGGAATGGTGCAAGTGTCATAGGATGACTGGCGCTGTGACCAGCCACGGGGTGGCTATTTTAGAGCACAGAGGTCTTTCAGTGTCCACCTGCTGATGCCATCATGATTGGCCACAGCCATCCTGTCCCCAGGAGTCCAGCTCCTCAGCTCTCAGGGTCAGTCAGACCTCTCTGGGGATCAGGGCTAATGGGTCCAGCTTTCTGTTTTGCCCTGAGCATGTCTGTCTCCCAGGCAAGCCCCTAGGCTCCCTCCCTGCCAGAAGCACCACAGATGGTCTCACACAGCTGCTGCTGGAAAAGACACTGAAGGATCCTGAAGCTTCCCCGGGCCTGTTTAGTTCTGGTAGAAGGAGAGGTCCCCAGTAGAATGCTCTCAGACGGCGGAAGAAAGGCCCTATGACTCCTTGCTTGGTTTGTTGCCCCTAAACGAGCAAGGGAATCGGTCTTTGAATTAGCAAGGGCAAAGACAATAGGAGAGGGAAGGGACCAGAGCCCAGGGTAGAGAGGAGACCCCAAGACATCACCTGGACACCCACCGAGTCCAAGTCTCCAGGCCACAAAACATTCCATTCCGGGCTGATGGCAAAAGGTCCCAGCCATTGGGAAAACCCAGGGAGCTAGAAACGCTAGTCTTGATTTGCAGAAAGGGGAAATATTCCAAAAAGTACCGTCAGGAAGGCTAGCTGTGGGTCCCTGGTCAAACTTCAGAGTAGATTTTTAAGCTAATGCTTCCATTAGCATTTGGAAATGAATGCAAAGGTCACTAAGAGCCAGAGTGGCCTCTATGAGTTCTGGCTGTCTGCTGAGGTAGTGAACTACCTGCCAAGCTGGGTAATCAAGCAGGAGCTACATGAATCTGCCAAAGAAGGGATTCATACCTCCAGAGGGGGACCAGACTCTAAGCCTCCATAATCCCATGGGCCTTGAGGGGAAGATGCAGAGGGAGAAAGAGGACTGCAAATAATTGATGTGCGTTGCTGACGATGGGGCAGAGGAACTCCCACACAGGGCTCAGCTGCAGGGATTTCACACCCACCATCCTACGCTAAAATCCTAAATCTGCCCCAACTCCAAATGTTTACAGAAGGAAGCAGTTTTATTAGGGTAGATCTTGCCTACACAAAATCCTTGATGGAAAGAGATCATTTTTCTCATGTACCTAAAGGTGAGGTCTCTTACCCCGCACATGATGACCTAATAGAACCAGTGCTCAGTTCTGTTTTGAAACAGACCAAGTTCAGGGAGCCTCCAGCATCCCAGATGAGCTACCCCAGCCATGCTCCTGCCTCTTCAGCCTGTGCCCAGCCCACAGGCCCCCCTGAGATTGAGGACTGGACAAGGAAGGGTGTTGGCTGTTCTCTAAGGTTCTTAGTGGCTGAAGCTGGAGAGGTGTAATCTTCCCTAAGCGTTTACCATGTGAACTGGTGTCGCGTATCTGATTCAACAAAAAATGAGAGAAGCTGATCGAT